CCCCGGCGCGGGTATTGGGAGGCGCGCGCGAGGCGCCTCCGGAGCTGCGAGCTCGGATTCCCACTAGCGCTCCCCGGGGCTTTCCTCGCACCGCCGAGTCCCGCGGGTGGGCTGCCCTCGGCCGATGCTCGCCGGGACTGGGGAATGTGAGGGGCGGCGTGTTCCTCGGGGCTCGGGGAGGGGGCGTTTCCGCTCGGACAGCACCTCCGGTCCCCGCAGTTGGAGGACCCCGACTCCAGTCAGCAACGCCCCCGCAGTGCTGGTCAAAGAAGGTGAAGAAAGCCAGCCTCCCCCCCAAAGAGCTGCCCCCAAATGGGTGGACCGCGGATGCTTTGCGTGGATTTAGAAACCCACTCGGGTTCTCTTCCCCTTGGGTTTGCTCTTCATCGTCTCCTACGTTTGCACTTGGTTCCCGGCAGTGATGAGAGTAGCGGTGCGAAGCGAGCTGGAGGCTTCGCGACGGTTCTGGACGCTGTCCCACCCCTTGGTCTAGAGCCCCCCGGGGACCCCAGGCCTTCTCGGTGGATTCCAGCCCCGCCTGGCTTCCTGGGCACTGGGGACCCAGCAGGAACTTGGCGGCCGGTCTTCGGGGTGCCGTGAAAGGCAGGATGGCCGCGCTTCGGCTCCAGCGCATCTCAGAGCGCTGCCGCCCCCTCATGCCAGTGGCCGCAAAGAGCACGGCGTGTAACAGCCGGTGCCTTCGCCCATGTTGGTCAGAAAGTGACGGGCGTCCCCAGCCCCACCCACGCCCGGGGTGACTCCCCAGGAGCAGGCCTCGAGGGCGGGGGAGGGGCCCCCCACCGCCGCCTTTTCTGGGAGCAGCGACCCCGCCTCCGTGGGAGGCCAAACGCCCCCTCCACTGAGTGGGAAATGCCTGCCCAGGACCCCCGCTTGGCGCAAGCATCCAAATGCGCGTCTGTTTTATTACCCTGCGTTGAAAAGAGACGAGAGCTTTAGCCGTTTTATCTGGCCATTTTATCAGCAACTACAAGTGTGTTGAGTGGTTATTATTACGTGGGAGGGAGGCTTTTCAGTTTGGGGTCAGTAGATCAGTCTCTTCAGACACGGCCGCTGGAGCTGCGCCTGGTAAGTAGGTATTATGTGCTCAGGAGCGCTAGGGGACAGGAGTAAATGGAGAAGAGACGCGGACGCCTTCTCCGCCGGCCTATCGATCGGAATCCCCGCCGGGACACGCACGCCGAGGGCCCACGCCGACGGCCCGCGGGTCC